TTTGCCGAGCGCCGCGGGCCGCCGTCCGCCCTGCGCAGCCGATTTGCAAACTCATTCGGGCCGCAAGCGGCGACAGAGAAGCTAATTCCCGGCCGGGACGCGTCGAGCCCGGCCCATCTCCCTGAGCAGCCTTCACCCACCAGCAAACCGACGTCAGCAACGTTTCGGGCCGTCTCGTGGCGCTGTATGAAAGCGGCTTTCTAGCGACGTGCCGTCCCCTTGCTCGTTAAAAGCCCGCGGTCCCCCTCCCTCCGTTCCCACGCTCGATTTCCCGCTTGCGCAGCCCCTGCCGCGCAGCTGGCAGCTCAGCTCACGGCCCCGCGCTCCCTCCCTTCCTCCTCCTTTTCCCAGGTGGATGCACCGTCTCCCACATAGGCTTCGCGAAGGTCACCGCGGGATGCTGCACCCTCTACGCGTAGCTCTACTCTTCAGGACCAAAGCAGGCTTGAGAAGTCCAGCTGTTTCTGCTCTCCCAACCCTACGTAGCCGCTCAACGCACCTGCTTTGCCCTCCAGCGTCCGCATCCAGCACTACACCGTCACAAAAGGCCCACGTTTTAGTTCAGATCGGCAGCGTGCAGCGCTCTGTGGTTGTTTTGGGTTTGTTTTGCCCCACTAGTTACAACTAATAAGAAGTACACAAGATTTAAAGCAAGAAGAGCAGGACGCCAGAGACCCGTCACGAAAAATGCCCTATTAGAAAGAGCAATACGCTTTTGTAATATTTACCGACGCTGTCGCTTCTCCTGATGACTGATTTATGACCCATCAGCGCAGTACAAGGGATTTTGGCGGATGCTGGCATCAGGAAGGGAAAAAAAAATCCAGAAAAGCCCCGGCTTGTCTAACTGCAGGACAAACTACTTTTCAGGTCCTGCCCAAGCCCCTGTGGTTTGCCCAGGTGTTCCCAAGCCCCGGTACCGCTGGCGCGCGGCCCCAGCCCTCCCTCTGCCTAGCTATACTCAGCTAAATCGTTGCAAATCGCAGCCTAAAGCGCCTGTTGATCAAACACGTGTACGTGCAATGGCTGCGCACGTCTGCTCTGCAGTTGCCGCGCAGGAAGATGAAGCGGTGCTTGCAACACGCAGAGCGCCGGCTGGAAATACGAGAGAGAGAGAGAGAGAGAGAGAGAGAGAGACACTGGTATCTCTGAATGTATTTACACTCGCGCTCTCGCACGGTAAACGAAAGCAACGGCAGAGGCAGAATATGGAGCATGAACTACGAAACATTTTCAGGTGTTTTATTTTGCGTCGACGGTTAGCTAGCGCGCGGGGTGTACGTGTCTCAGCGGGGGGGAGTGTGCGTGTGTAAAGGGTTTATGTCAGCAACTGCTTGGAAACAACACTGTACTTCTGTATTATCTTTCCCTGTCGCTCGTTCGCCAGGTTAAAATAAAGGTAAAGTTTCTCTCTCTCATGCACAAACTCTGGAAAGAAGTAAAATCGGCGTCACCTTGCACATGGGATAAGAGCTAGTATAAACTGGGGATATTTTCACTATCTGATCACCAAAAAAAAAAAATAATAAAGTTTTACAATCTTTAGGGCTCTCTTTTTTAAATAATAAAAAAGTACGACAAAAGAAAGGAAAGTCCTCGGCTAAAACTCGCAACTATTAAGTGCACCCTATTTATGACAGCATTTAGTAAGCAAAGCAGGACAGAAGCCTGCAGGTAACCAAAGCCAGACTGAAATGCAACACACACCATGATAAACTCAGCAGCACGACATCTAGAACTCAAGTAACAAACAGGTGAGAGACATGATCCCTGAAAGAAAAAAAAAAACCACCAACTCCCACGGACAGCACCAGCGGGGTGCCGGAGCCCCAACTTGCACATATCAGAAAAGACACCACGTTGGAAACGGCTCGCCACGTGAGTTAAAAACATCCCGGTGAAGGGTTTCCACCCATCAAGAAGCAGAGCAGAGGTTCAACGTTTCTTTCTTAAAGGTCACGTGAGGAGAAAAAAAAATGAGCCAAGTTATTTAAAAGGTTGTTCTTGCTTGGTAGGATTTTCTCAGTGAAAGGTTAATGGTCTTTACAAATACTTATTTACCTGACTCAATTTTGAAGCAACTGGAACCTCCCACGTTCCTACAGCAGCTACCAGTTTCTTGATTCCTTGCGCAAAGGAATCAAAGCCTTCACTGTAGTCTATTTGTGGTTTATTTGGTTAGAAAAGGTCTTATTTGCCAAAACACCTGCCACAAAGGACAAACGTGGGAGGCACTGCAAAAAAAGGCAAGCCAAAATAGATGCCCGTGCCTGGTTTGGCAGGGAAACTGCGGCTGGGCCAGCACACGGGCCTCTTCCAATTAATCGAGCCTTAGGCTTTCTGGGAAAATCAACATGTGTATTCACAGTTACCACCAGCAGAGAATTAGGGTCCCCAGCGGTCCCGTCGGGCACAGCTACCAGGGGAGACGGGGAGGAGGAAAGAAGCCGGGGAGCTGCGAGGCTTCGCTTTCCCTGTTGGCTCCGACGCACGCAGAGGATGTCGCACAGACAACGCTTTGTGTGTTCCCTGCATAAACAACACTCAAAGGGAAAGTTAAGCTCTGCCCACAGGCATCGAACGTAAGAACAGATCCACGAGAACAGCTGCACCCTCCTATTTCACCTAACAGTCCTTCCAAGCCTTAACTCCTTTCCAGCTACAAACTCAGATTTGCTCATTTTAACCAAAGCTATATAAATATATTATTAAAAAAAAAACCCACAATTCAAACATTTACCAAGAAAGGAAGAAAAGTTACAGTGAAATGAGGCCTTGTTATTGTCTTAAATCAGGCAAGCCAGGAATTGCCTTGGGGAGACTTGTCTGTTTTTCAGTTCTGTTCCAATTGCCCGGATGTCTATGCGTCCTCCAAACTAGCTAACATACCCTTGTCGACAAGGTGCGCTTTTAGCGTGTTGAAGATGTGGAGCTGCTGGTCTGGCCGCAAGGTTAAGAACTGCTGGATCAGTTTGCTTGGGTTAGGACCTCTGAAACACAAAAGTATCATTATCAATGAGTCGCACTGCTAAATCTCAATGGTCTGGGAGCCCAGGCGCAGTTTGATCAAAATAATACACTTAAAACAGTAGTCATGTTGCCTATTCCTTCTATAGGTGGCTACAGAACTATTCCGTAATGCAACCGAAATAGATTTTTCTGCTCAATCAGCCCTGGGGAAACACTGCTCAAGACCCAAAGGGCTGCATAAGGAAGACAGAGCAGTTTCAAGGGGGCTAAAATAATACACCTTGGGGAACAGGGGTTGTGTTCCCAGCTCGGCATGGCACTGGCAAAAGGTGCTTCCCTTCTTTGCGCCTCCCTTTCCTCTCTCTCTCTTTGTCTTGTGTTTTTAGATGTTAATCTCACGGGGATAACTGCTGTCTCTTACTATGAGCCTGTATGTCACCCAAGTTTGACAGGGCCCCCAACCTTCACCGTAAAGCAACAAATACCTGATAAAGCTTGCGATGTACACGTTAACAAAGGTGGCCATCAGGTACTGACAGTCAAAGCGGTCCATGATACCTCCGTGGCCTGGGATTGTGTTGGCAAAGTCCTGCGCAAATCAGAAAGGATTGCATTAAGCAGTCCCAGGTGCCCATTACCTCTACTTGCTCTACGTACATCTAAGCTCTCCACTCATACCCGCGCTCTAATTCTTCTGAGAAGGCAAAAGTCAGCCTAAGAATTAATTTTGCTCGACATCTCCCCTGGTTTTAAAAGTTTCTCCTTTATGCAGGCTATTAGTGCCTGAGGGACATCACGGTTTAACTAAGATCTGTCAGGGTCAAGGAAGGCTAATGTTTATTGCTTGCAACCCTGTCCTGTCTTTCAAGGCATCTTAACTGTAGAGAAGACTGCTTACACGTAAAACCTCCCTGCAGGACATCAAGGAAAGCCCAGACTGCAAAATTTTCTGATTGGGTCTTTGTTCCTCTACCTTGAGTTCTGCGCTAAAGCAGGGTTTAAAATATCACGGTTTGATTTTTAAGGTCTTCCCCCTCACCCATTCAGTCAAAAAACCTGGATCGTGCCCCATCATTTTATTTGTGACAGAACAAACCTTCTCTTCCCTCCCAAAGCTCCCAGCCTTTCACTCCTTGGAGCAGAGGGACAATATATAGTGGCAGCAACTCCTAATGGACAGTCCTTGTCAGTTCAGTCTTTGCCTTCTAAAAGGTAAACGGCCTTTGAGAAGAGGGGTGTCCTTACCTTGATTTTGAAGGCTCTCTTAAATCCACTAGCAAAGAAGCCTCCAAACGGCCCAATGAGGGAGGCAAAAGTAGACAGTGCGATGCTGTGGATTTGGAAGGGGTACATCCGGACTGTCTTCTGCAGAAAGAAAAACACATCAGAGGAGGATTTTCACAAAGTACAGCACTTCCCTGAAGCTTGCTTTGCTAAATCCAAAGCCAAGACCTGCAAGCGACCAGTGGTTCTGCACAGCCAGCTCTTCCAACACGCTATATACACGTCCTCTGGGAAACAACATTAGGAAGATGCCACTGGGCCTCTTCAAGTGCCTTTTGAACTTCCCTCACCCCTATAGGTAAAGGTTATCTTCGGAGTCTCAACACACATCTCGAGGCAAATCACACTGGGACCCAGTCTGTATGAAAGGGAGCTGCAAGATGTCTTCTAGATCATCTTGGCCACCGCTTGCCCCTGTTTCCGTACTCCCCACGCTTTCGGCCAGTTGGTTCACAACTAGCTTCAGCCACCAGACTTGGGACAATTCCTTTGGGACTTCCACTAACAGGGAGCACCATTAATTTCCCTCTTTACTGGGTCAAGTACCATCATTCCTTGTCACGTAAGTCTGTGGAGCACTACAACATAGCCCTCCTCTCTTCTTGGTGTTCTGTCTCAATAAATAAAACCCTTTTAGTAGCCTCCTGCCAGGCAGTCACTAGCAGTGTGTGCAGTGAGAGTCCTACCCAGCCAACGATAGACTGCAGCACCACGGGGATGTTGTATTCCTGTAGCTGGAACAGCTCGGATGGCTCACAGTCCACTGTGAAGCTGTTGGTGTCATTGTTGAATTCCACTGGACAGGTGAAGCACCGGTACCCAGACATCACGTAAGACAGCTTCAAGGAGACAGAGAGAGAGATGCATCAAGAGAAAGGAGGATTAATGTTTCCCGAGCGAGGAGGCTGAGACACTCCCAAGGCAACTCAAGGAGACGAGGCTAGGAGGGAGCCGCGTTCCTGGCTTCATTAAGAAGATTACTCTCCTGAGAAGCATTAATTGGCTAAAGGCATAGTAAGCATTTTCTTTTAAGAAGCGCATCTGTTCAGCAAGCAGTGATCAGAGGCCCTGCATGAACGGGCTGAGACAGGCTGCACCATTTGGCTGAGCAGACAGCTACAACCAGACAGGGGGACAGTCATAAAAACAGACAAGAATATCTTAATACTCAGAGATGATGCAGGCCTCATGACTTCCTATCCAGTTAAGGGCTTCGTTTCAATTGTGCACACAATGAAAGCAAGCTGCTCTTTCTCATGCTCTAGTCCCACGGTACAGCAAAGTGCCAGACAGAGCACTGAATTCCCCACATAGCACTTGAAACGATGCACCGCATTCATCCAACGGGATCCCTAAATGCTTCGTCTACACACGCACAGCATCTGTGGGAATACCCCGGTCTCTACTCTTTGGCAGACAAGAGAGAAAGCTTCAAGGACAATTACTGTAATGAACGCGTCGTATGGTCTACAGGGGACCTTTCTCCAATATGCTGTTCCCCCTGCAGGACCTGCACGCAGCACAATCCATGGCCATGGACCAGCTCAAATCCTGGTCAGCCAGGCAAGCGTGAAGTTTTTGACAAAAGCCTGAACAGCTTGCCTGCATTTTTTCAGGCAAAACACCATCACCTTATGAAGGGAAAAGAGCAATGAAGTAATCACCATGTTACTTACCAGCAATCCAAACAAAACGGTGGCAAAAAAACCTCCAATAAAACCCTCCCAGGTCTTCTTTGGGGAGAGCTACAGCCGGAGAGAAAGAGAGAAAAGGGGGGTAGTTAAAAACTGTGCATCTACGCACAGCACCACACACACAAGCAGCCCTTCCTCAACTGTGAACTGCTGAGGCAAGCCGAAAATGGTGCAAACAATCAACAAATAACAGCTTAGTCAAAACCTCACACTACCCTCTTTGTTCAAAATGCTCTGTTCTACTTCACAGCCTCAAACATTGGGACATGTCCAAATGGGAGATCAGAGAACAGGGACTGGGATTAAGACCCAAAGAAGCCAAAAATTAGCCAAAGAAGCTAATTTATTCTTTATTAGTAGCCTTTTCACAGTCTTTCTTCTTATTTCACTTATCAGATGAAGCTTTTCAGACAAGAATTTTTAAGGACCTGTCTGTAATATGCATTCAGCTTCTTCAAATATTGCAGCCCCCCCTTCCAGTAGCTACTTCCAGTGCTCTAGCCTGCTCTCCCATCTAGGGTCAAGGGCTGCATGCAACTGAAAGGCGCCTGTAGTTTTGTTCACCAAAGCGTTACGAACCTTGATGAGCGGAGTGCGGCCAAAGAAGAACCCGAACATGTACGCCATGATGTCGTTGCAGATCACACAGGAAATTGGGACAATGAACCTAGATGGGAGGAGAATCGAAGCATTTGAAAATGCCAAGCATCAGACAACTCCGAGACTTAACGAAACGAGCAATTGCTTCATCATGTGTTCTCCAGTGCCGTCCCATCAACATCTCCCTGTCCAGTGCAATCTCACAGCACACGGAGCAACCACCTGAAGCTCCTAGAAAAAACCAAGGTGTTACCCTAGTGCTCTAGACTAACCAGCAGGTCGCACACCCAAAACAGCCTGTTTTAAGCACATTCTTTCCTTTTTTTGCGACACGTGTCATGCTGTTAGACAGTTGCCTCCGCTCACCCCAGAGTGGCTGCATCTCAGCTGCCAGCAGACTGCTCTCAGAGCACTCTGGGCTGGTTCAGGCACGCACAGGAACTTACAGTGCCGTCTCACAGCAGCCAAAAGTAGTTGCTGGCACAGCTGGTTTCGGGAAGACAGATGCTGCTTAAGACCAGCACTTTGTACTGCCCAAGTAGCACAAAGCAAGTCCTAAGTCACCGAGGCATCGCTCAATCTTTTGCTTTTCTATTCTGAATGGGTCAGCCCCTGGCAGGAAATATCTTGGCCATTTGTTTTTTAAAAGAATAGCCTTCACTAAAAACACAGTAATTCATATTAGGCTGCAGGAATCACAGTGATTCAAAACACACAGCAACTCACCATATCATTCCTTCAAAGAGGTTGTGAATGATGAGGTGCGACTGGGTAACAACAATTAGCAACGTCACGTGGGTCCACCCAAACTGGAAGAGAAGACAGCATGCAGTCCAGTCTGCCTAGAGACATCTCTCATACGCATCGCTGGCAGAAATCAAATGCTGTTAGGCACCTCTCAGAGCCCAGCTCATGCACGGGTGCGTTTCTAGCGTACACCTTCACCACGACAGACACCGCAAGTCGCCCAGAGCAGGGAACAGTGACATTATTAACTAATAATGGACACGTTCTTCAGCTCCAGCCCAGACCTGAACTTCACAGGGAAGACTTCTGCTGGACCAAGCCCTCTACAGCCCACCCCTGTCCCACACATCCCAGGCAGCCTTCTGACTATACAAGAAGAACACAAGGCTGATGGATATCCAAACTGTATCTCTGTGTGCAGAATCTAGCGGAAAGCAAAACTAGCTGGGTCTGTGGTCAAACACGAGCAATACCTTACTGATGTTTGGAAAAGGGGACATAGCCAATTAACCCTTGTGCTGATCTACCCACAGTACAAGAGTCAAATAGTCTCGTGCAGTCATCTCATCTTGCAGAAAGTTTCTTAAGAGCATCCTCAAGTGCAGAGAGAAGAGAATTCATGTTTCCAGGGAACTCCAGTCAGGGCCACCTTCCTAAATATTCAGTCTGCTCGCAGTAATTTTCCTTCCAGGCAGCATTACAATGCACAGCCAGCACAGAAGCATCTACTGGCACGTATTCCTCTATACAAAGTTTTCAAGTAGCCTATATTATTCATTCTTCTGCCTCCAACTGGGGGCAGCCAGCCCCTGTGTTTAACCTTACCATGTAGAACTGGAGGCGATAGTGTTTCTTCACCAGGCTCAAGACAAACATGCAGAAACCTGGTGGGAAACAGAAGAAAAATGAATGGGTGGGAACATGTCTTCAGCAGAAAGAAATGCTTGCTTTTTCTATGACAGTGCACAACTCTGCAGGCTTTTTGAGTAAAGCAGCAACGTGAAGTGGGGAAATGCACTGTTCTGGAAGTCGCATAATACAATTTCCTACAAATAACACTTGGGCAGATAGCCAATTAAGCCTGATTGCTCCCAGATGAATTAGAGAGGGTTTTTTTCCACAGAGTTCTTTTTTTTTCTCTGCGAACTTGCTTTCACAATGTCAACTGGATACGCTACGGACACCGCAAAAGATACAATACTTGCGAGAAGAGTACTTCAAGAGATCAAGGAGATCTCCTCCCTCCAGCCCAAGTAAATTTAACCAACAGAAAATGTGGTCTTTACCTGTTAAGTACAGGGCAAAAGAAATGAAGCGGTGGTATTTGCTGAGAATTCGCAAGGGCTCCTCTCTTTGAACCAGGGTGAAGAAATAATCTGTTACAGTCTCGCCATAGAAAAAGTAGTTTACGCAGAGCAGGAAGTACCTGTGGATGGATGCACGTGCCTGTTAGCAGGAACCCTAAAAGTGTTCTGGAGGAACACAGAAAGTGGCTGATCCCCAAGGTCAACGGCCTTCTGGAAAGTGACGGCCAAAACTTCATTCCCCCCACTTTAGAAATGACACCTTCATTTAAAATAGCACTTGCACCACCCACTTCCACGTCTCAGTGGATCATACTCTGTTTGGGATTGGTGTGGGCCTTTAGATGCACAAGGACTTTCTGCCTTTAGGTGGCACTCCTCAACAGGCCTTTAGGAGCTTGTGCATCCTAAAAGCACGGCTCCTCCCCTCGTCACAGCCTTGCTCTGGCTGGCATCCGGAGCCGCTCAGCCCAGCTATGTCCCAGGGTTCAGCACTGTTTCACAACCACCCACAATAAGCCTCCCACGCCAAGTGAGCAACCATGTCTGTCTGCAAGTGGCGACAGCCATCAGTGCCGTCCCTTGCACGGATCATGGCGTTCCAATCTCAGCGCTTCGTAAACGGCGGGACAAACTATATCAAGATATCTATCTGTCTGTATTTGTGGGGACGTTTCCCTTACGAAAGCTGCTAACACACAAAACCAGACAATTCACAGCAATCCTATGGTCCCTGTTTGAGAGGTTGCTAGAAGATCTCCTTGCTGTCTCTCCTCCGCAATGAGATGAAACGTATCACTGCACTCAAGAACGGAGAGGGAAGCAGTCACCCTACTCACCAACTGAGCGTCCTGAACCAGGGCAGGTCATATGAGTGATATACGTTATAGCCGATAGTGATAATCTCGTGAAAACATTTGATCTGGACGCACATTACCTGCACAAACAGACATCAGGAAGCTGTAACACGTGTTGGTTATACACCTCTCTCCTGATGGAGAGAAAAAAACATGCATGTGCATAGCAAAAGATACTTTAGCAGGTGTTATCAGGCAGGCAGAAATCTCTTAATCCAACCTGTGAAGCTCATCATGTTGTTTTTCCCTCCCCTTTCCTCTGCAGGAGGTTTCTAACAACCTTCCATACTGGTGTCAATTGCAGCCAAATGCTGGACCGCCAGGGCAGGCAGTCACAGATTCGTTCCTCCACGGACAAGCCCAGTGAGCTGAACGGGGACCACAGAAACACGAGGCTCTGGATTTCCTGCACCAGTGATGGTCCCAGCAGCCATCCCCCCGCCACTGCCAACATTAGGGCATTTCTCTGCGAGCACTTACTATCATCATTAAGACCATGGGTCCCAAATAGATGATGATGAAGAAGAAGGTGATCATTGCCAGCGTGAGGATGCCTCTTACCCACCAGTTCTTCCATCTAGGCCGCAGAGAAGGAAAGAGGTTAGAGAGAGCCAGAACAAAGGGAGCAGGACAGCAGCTCTGCTCTCCTCTGCACACCTTCCAGGCAACATCATAGGCCAGTACCTGAGCCCTGAAAACCCTGAGTTTCCTCTCTGCACTGCAGGGAGAGCTTGATCCACTGACCAAGACCTGGTTGCAGCAGCTGCAAGGCTGCAGCTCAATTCAGTCGTCGCTGCTATGAACCTCACTAAATGCAGGAGCAACTCCGAGGGCACTGAAACAGGACCCGGGCGAGCCTGTTCCTGTTCTCCTACAGGCTTCCCACACCTCGGACAGGCGACCCGAGTAGTCCCCAGTCAACGAAACAGGGACCACTTCCCCTCCCTGCGCTACTTTTGAAGAGGAGACATTGGCCCTCACGTGTTGTATCCTCACTGTTCTCCAACAGATTCCACCTGGAGCCTCTCCCATGCTCACAGCACACACTTTCTCCTGTGCTATGAGTTAGATGCTCTTGCCCCTGCAGCAGCCCCCAGAAGACATTTCCAGTTTGTTCTTTAACCTACTCCTTATCAGCAAGTTTTTCTCATGCATTCTTGCAAAAGTAGGTCAGACTAGTGCTTAAAAATCGTTGCTGTTGAAGTCTTCACTGAGATCATTCGCCAAAATGAAAGGGACTCGCAGACAGCTCTGGCTAAGCTAAAAGAAATGTAATGTGCTCCCTCCAGCCCTGCAGCGCTTGTCTGTGACTGATCCTCACCCACGCGCAGCAGCACGGAGCCAGGAGCACTGCCCTTTGCTCTCCTGCTAGCATTGGTGTCAGGTTCTCTTTCCTGTGGCCTTGTGGGCACCTTGCTGCTTGCCTGCCAGGGACGGAGAGCGCTGCGCTGCAGAGCGCAGCTATTTCAGCCTCCATCCGCCGACAAGACGCTGTCTTGGCTCGGGAAGCCGCCGCTGCAGGAGCTGCTGCCGGGAGCCCAGCAGCAGTGGGGGAGTGTGCTCAGCGCTACCTTGAGGACAGGTTGGAGAGAGCTCTGTTCAGGACCTCTGGAGTGTCATCGGATGTCGGCACCGGAGGCGATCCTCCAAACTCGGATTTGCTTTCGCTGTCCGATGCTGTCTCTCCATCTAGCTTGTTTTCGGACTCTGACTCCTGCAAGTGAAAGAGGGACACTGAGCTTTGCTGGATACGGTGCTAGGACTCTTGAAAGAAACTCAGATCAGCCCCGTAGACGCAATACCTACCACCGCTCTCCTGGCTAAATGGGAGAAAGACGACGCCAACATTGTCTGGGTACTACGTGGGGTTATACCCACAAAAAATAACATCAAGTGCTTCAGGTGATGGGCAGAATGGGTTTTACTGCCCCGGCTGACTCAGCAGCAGCTACAGAAAAGGATCTGATCCCTCTGAAGAGGCAAAGATGCCTCACAGTTGACTGAAAAGTATCTCCAAGTGCAGCAAGTGTTTAAGGGACACAGGCTTGTTAGCAGGAATTTTTGCAAGGTCTCCCAATCCCCAGGCAGATCTCCAAGCATGCAGCATTGCCCCTGTCAGACAGAACGAAAGGCCTCCAAGTCGACAGGCTCGAGGCCTCCAGACAGACTTGTCAAGTACTAACTTGACATGCAGGCACTAAAAATAACACCAAGGCCACGCTCAGAAAGCTGAAGAGGAAGAACATGGCTTATCGCTCAAGCCCAACCACCTCTCAGGCCAGGCCACAGAAGAAATCCGATGTGCCGGAAAGATACAGCACGTGCTCTCCCTGCCCCTTGTACTACTCCAGCACTTAGCTCCGAGCAAAGCCTCCCAGTCAGTCCCATCCAGCCCTCTCCAGCGGCCGTTTTCCCTCCGGTTCAGCTCCTCAACACAGGACAAATGCAATTTTCTACGTTTTGCCCGTCGTTTTATCAGCAGAGCTTCAGCCTGCTCCTTGCCGGCTCTTGAAACGAAGAAGGAAACCTCCCCTGCCTGGGGAGCGCTTGCCCATCAGGCGCCCAGGGCGCTTGATCATGCGCTATTTTAAAATTCCCGGAAAAGGGAGCGTGTTTGCAGGAAGAGCAGGGAGGGAGCCAAGCTGACAACCGCTGCAAGCTCTGCAAACGAAGCTACTTAATCGCTCTGGGCTCCCGCGGCCCTCCAGGGCTCCCGGACAGCGGTGCCCCGCGCTCGGAGAGCGCCAGAGCAAACGCCCGCTGGCGCCGGTTTGGCATAACCGAATCGAGGGGTATCTGCAGTTCACTAGAGCAGTAAGGCTTGAGCGGCGCCCTTATTCAAGGTAGGAAAGGATAATTACTCCCAAGCCGTACGGTATCCGTGGCTGCAGGCCAGGTTCTTAAAACAGACAGGAACAGCTAGACGCTGTCAGATGGAGGCAGCTAAAAATACCACGGTGTCGTCAGAGGATCATTTCCGGGGGTGAGCGAAGTGCCTGGCATCGCACCGGCGCTTAGGTACTTAGGGCAGAGAAAGGCCACCATCATCCATAGGTAGAGGCTAAAACCAAAAACCTTGAGTGCAATTTTTAATGCAATCCAAGTATCCATCATCTCAGACGAGTCCAAGGCTCGCTGGCCGTGCAATAAAAGGACTGAACGTTGAAACGAGAAAGCAGATCCGAGCCAGCATCCCTGCATTTTATTCCCCAGCTGTGCCATTTGGGAACGCGCTGGCATTTCAGGGCTAACTGCAAAGCAGCCAAATTACGCCTTGCCTGTAGCCCAGAGGATCAGAAGTTTCGCAAAGTGCTCAGAGGCCAAAAGAAAGGGAAAGAGAACTGATGCCTTCCCCCTTCCAATCCAGTTCAAGAAAAAAAGCATAAAAGCAACCGAGCCAAGCTGGCCGCTGCTGAAACGGGCAGTCCAGACCCCTCCGGTACCCCAGCCCCCAGTTCCCCGCACCAACACTGACGTTGCAAGCTAAACTGACATAAATCATCAGCGTCGTCGATTACCTGATCCACCGACTTCAGGGCGACGTCAAGCCATACCTCAGGACGCCCAGCGTCGTGGTCTCTTAAGAAGAGGGGCAAAGCCTTCACTGGGTCAGTCCAACGATACACGCATCCCGTTATTCCCCACGTCGTCTCCAGCAGTGGGAACAGGAGAGGTTGTGCAACACACACGCAAGACCCACGGCTCCAGCTAACATCGCCTGGTTACTCCCCGAGAGGACAAAGAAAGCAGTCAAGGAGTTGGTCAAGATAAAGAGACGCCGTTAGGGTGCAACGCTCCTGCCGCGTGTCTTGCTTGTTCAACTTAAAGCCTGATGGCAGTTGGAAGAAAACATTTCCCCTGAGGGAAAAAGTCACCAGTCAAACTGATGGATGACATAAATTTTAACATCTTCATTTTGAAAACAACTCCGTATCGGAGATCAGCTCTTCTCCCGACTTAGATCGCTCCCTGAAATAGAGCGTTGGGATTATATAGGACATTGTGGTAGATACAGACTGTGGAGAAGACTCAGTAATTGACGCTATTTTTATTCCTTTTATGCAAATTGCAACCATCAGCCTACAAATCAGCAGTTTAAGCAGCTGAGCGAGGTGCTAAATAACTTGTTTTAAGCCCTAGCACGATGCACTCTGGTCTGGTCTACTTAATCCAGCTGTGGCATTGCCATGGTAACAACCTCCCACGTGTTTCCACCACTATCTCGCTAGCCCTCAACCTGAGCCAGACAGATCCCCGTCCACAAAGGAGAACCGTCGGAGAGCCACGCTTTCCGCAAAGTAGCTTGCAGCCGCAAGCAAGAGTGCAAACCGGCACAGATGATGCTAAATGCCATTCACCAAGGGCTGCTGCAGCCAAAAATCTGCGCTCGTTGCAGAGCGGGACTTTGGCAGAAGAAGAGCTTGCGGCTGCAAGGGGCAAATTAGAGCTACATCAAGCCACAGGCGGCAAATACGGCATCCAGTGGTGTCAGCACAAACTCAGCATTTCGGGGCGGCTGGATCCCATAGACGGCAGTCTGTCATTGATGGTTTAGGGTCAATGGATTTGCTTTAAATACGCATTATGAGCAAGCCATCAGAAGCCAGAACTGCACAAACCTGCAAGCACAGCAATACCCCTTTTAAGTGTTTATGTTGTCTGATAAACGCAATATAGAAGACAGAGTTTCACTTTTCAGGTTTTAGAAGATACTTTTAGAAGATTAGCGTCTCAATACGCTGCACATGGACTCCTTACTTATCAGAATTGCTCACCCTGCAGAAGGGACCTCAGGGCAGCTCCTGCCTTTTCTTTTCTACCTTCAAGGTGAGACGTGATCTTGTGACTGGAAGTAGAAAACTGGGATCCCAGGCTCCGGGCTCCAGGCAGTCTCTCTATGTGATTTCGGGTACATCATTACATCTTCGGACGTCCATTCAGGAAGAATTCTCTACAAACCCTTAATCCTAGTATTTCTACCAAGGCCATGAATTATTCAGAGAGATAATCACCTTCTGCTAAGTCTCCGCAATGGGCTTCAAACTTGAACTAAAATAAGCAAAACCCCCAAACCGCTACCTAACAGTCTTCATTGCGATCGACTGTGCAAACAAGAGACGATAAATACATTCAACTTACAGCAAGTTAACCAAGAAATCATGCTTTGCCTCCTTTCCCAGGCGCTAGACCATACTCCTTCCTTAAAACCTCAAGGGGTCTTTCCTGTGCGTTTAACAAACGCAGCCATAAAAGCCCAAGAGTACATAAGCATCCACGGCTACCTTTGCAAAGCCCCCTCCATTTTCATAACTGGAGCTCAGCCTAAAATCGAAGCCATTTAGCCACAGGCTCATCCTCACATACACCTTGCCATGCTTTAACCTTGTATGACTTTGAAGCAGCACTGAGCACAACCCAACACCGGGACGCAGAAGCGTCAGTCTTGGGCCAGGGTCTAGTTGAACTAGATGCTGCACAGACAAATCAAACCTTTCAGCAATGCTTTTCACTGCTCGAGCTCTCTGGATTACCGGGTACACGTTAAGTCTATTAAAACACAAGCAGATGCAGCATCTTCGACTGGCTTTTGTTATCAAAATGGACTTCATACGTTTAAGGGCTCTTTTTGCATAAATCTGACTTCAGGCGAGCCCAGCGCTCCGTCTCCAACTTCCCATCTCAACGGCGAGAGCTTTTTAAGGAATCAAGGAGATAACTAATACAAGAATAAAATGGAGATGGCAATGTATGTCTTCATTCAGTCATTTCCACATTAGTAACGATGAGAAGAAAGAGTAAAACCCACAGGTCTCTTCAAGGGCGGTTTCTCCTGATCGCCGAACCGGAGGGGAGAGAGGGAAAAAAACCCAGATACCTACTTGCTTGTCATATTTGCAAGAGCTGCGCATCTAAGCAACACTTGCGAATAAATATTTCGTCCCCTCAAAAAAGTTACAGGAAAAAAGAGTCGTCTCGGGTTTCTTTAAACGACTCTTGTGAGCAAGCAGCGCGGGAGTTGTGCTCGCATTTCTAAACGGCCGTCTCGCAGCGCAAGCTGTGAGCGCTGCTTTTTTTGCCCAAGTCTCCATGGCATGATCTCAGTTGTCATAGGAACAAGTCAGATATCTGCCAGCCAAAACCGTTCTGCCCAACACAGAGACGGAGTTAAGCATCCAACGCTGGCAGATTGCATTAGCTCAAGAAACCCCATCATTTGCGCACCTTTCTTGAAGCGAGGCCTCGTTGCACTGGGACTTCCTGCCAGCTTTTAATAAAAAGCAGTGACGTGCAAGGGCTAATACACTGCTAAAGAGAAACATAACGTCGTCTTTTGAGGCAAGAAAGCTGATGGCTAGAACAACCGGGGCCAACCGTGCGAAAGCCCCTGTTATTCTCGCCTCCGAGCCCACGCCATGCCCAACAGGATTATCAGCCCAGACAGCTCTCAGCTCCGGTATTTGCAGGATCAAAGCCAATATAAAATAAGTCTAACGGAATACAAACCTGACAGCCCCAGTTATGAAAACCACAATGTTTTTCAAAAGTGGTTTTACTTATTATGTTCGCCGCTTTACCTCTACGGCAGTGCCCATCTCTGCAATTCAACACGCTTGAAGGGAGGAAAATTCGGAGACACTAGAAGGAAGGTGCACAAGCGTCTGGGCTTGATTGGTACTATGGTCACAGAAAAGCATCGGCTTTTCGGAGGCGGCAACAAGGCAATTAAATCCAAGTTTCTCCTGTGCCTCCATCAAGATGTCCCAGCAAGACGGCCCCTAGGGGTGCCTGCTCGGTGTATTGTCTCAAAAAACAATGAAGAAGGTCGGTTTTCACTGCTGTTGATAAGGAATTCCCTCCCCCATCCCCAAAAAACACATTCCAGTTCAAAGCGCGCAGAGAAATTAGGGCAAGCCCTACAAACGGAGGCCAGTAGCAGATAACATCACAAAAAGCGTAAGCGCTGGCACGGCGCCTGAAATAATTAAAAAAAATGCCTGTTGCCACCTCAGATGCCTGAACCGAGCCGCTCTCTCTTGAACGCGAGCAAGCTCAGCCCGTCAGCGGGGTCCGACGGGGAGGTACGCACGGTCCGCGTTTAGCAGAACAACAGCCTGCTTAAAACAACCTGAGCTCAGCGTCAGCAGACGGGACTCACGCAAAGTCACGCGTCCCCGTGACTCACTCGGCACAGGGCAGCGCCGGCTGGACGGCGGAGCGGGCTCTCCCTCGGCCCGGCCCCCAACTCACCATCCGCTCTGGGGTTTGTTTATTCCAGGAAATCTAGAGGGTAAAACGCTCGCAGCTCCGAGTCCTTCTCAGAAGCTATTGTATACAGAAGAGCACAAAAATAGGTTGCCGGTTCTGGCGTTGCCCCAGGATTTCCTACTGCTAAGAAAGGATCCTGCCTCCCTCTCTAAAATGGAAAGATTTTGGAGATAGGCTTTAGCGCTAGGTTCTCCTGGATCTAACCGGCATCTCTTTGCTCCCGTGGCATTTCCCCAGCCGGCAGACTTTGCTGTCCCTGCGGAGACAGAGAAGCATTTACAGGAACGGGAGAGCGAAGCTCCTAAGTACCTCCTGGAATCGGCGTTTGAAAGAGGCTCTCCCAGCTCGGAGAGGCGTTGGCAGGATTCGGCATAGACGTTTCAATCTGTCGCTAACTGGGAGAGTCGTGCGAAAAAGGAGACAGGGAACAAACAGCTCTGCAGCGATCTGTACTCTACTCACATCGGGAGGTTAGTGCAGGAAAAGTCTATTTTTGTCCACCAAAACGAGAGCCTGCATCACGCCAAGGCTGATGGCTTCTGACCCTCAATTCCTCTGGAGTTACGTACGTTTTGCCAAGACCTAATGGGAAAAAAATCTTATCAGGCTAGTTAATTTGCTAGTAAGGGGATACCCCAGTCTTGTTCAGACTCCTCTCTCAGTCAGTCCCTCTGAACCTATCCGACAACGAAAGCAGGCGCGCAGGACGTTTAGATGAACTCCTGGCAATCCCGAATCGACAGTGGTGTTAAGACACAGCTGCCGCTACGAACTTGCAGGCGACCACACAACTTGTTCCAAGGAGAAATCTGTTAATTAGAAACAGGCAGGGGGATAAAACAATCTTCTCGCCACTTCACGTGTCACGGGCGGTTTAGGGAGGGGGAAACGAGTCCTCCGTTCAGGACACGCGCCGGCCCCAGCTGGGAAGAGCAACACAAAACTCGCATCCCAACTTCCCTCTTCGCAGCGGCGGGCCTCCCTCCGGGCCACGAGACTCGTCCCCGGCGTCTGGTCGCAGGCAGGCGGCAAGGAGAGACCCCCGCGGGTAAATTGTCTAGTTATTAAATAAGGGCGGTACGTAGACGCCAGCTCTGAACAAACCAAAGGGGCTGAGTGACGGAAAAGCAACAAGCGTTTCAGGGGGGTTTCACCCGAGCATCCCGAGTCTCGGCGCTTGCGCCATCGCGTCGTCACACGCGCCTCTGTGCGAAGGGCCGCCTTGCAGTCCTAGAAGGAGCGGGGCGACTCCAACGCGCTCGCTCCCTAAAGCAGCAGCGTTTTCCTGGGATCAGACTCCTCCGGCATCACAGAATCACAGAGTGGTTTAGGTTGGAAGGGACCTCTGGAGACCATCTAGTCCAACCTCCCT